AGTGTCTGTGTCTGCCGACCTGCTGGGCCCATGAGGGGTTCCCACTATCCCTATGCCGAGTTTTTTTGGGTCTACACGCCACTGTGCCCATTTTGAGGGGTTTGCATCATCCCTGTGCCGAGTTCCTGGGTCTGTACACCTCTTGTGCCTATAATGAGGGGTTTCCACCATCCCTGTGCTATGTTGCTGGGTCTGCTGTACACCTGCCATGCCCATTATGAGGGGTTTCCACCATCCCTGTGCAGAGTCCCTGGGTCTATACACCTGCCGTGCCCATTATAAGGGAATTCCACCATCCCAGTGCTGAGTTCCCTGACCTGTACACCCGCTGTGCCCATTATGAGGGGCTCCACCATCCCTGTGCTGAGTTCCCGGGTCTGTACACCCGCTGTGCCCATTATGAGGGGCTCCACCATCCCTGTGCTGAGTTCCCTGACCTGTACACCTACTGTGCCCATATGGAGAGGTCCCCACCATGCCTATGCTGAGTTCTTTGGTCTGTACACCCGCTGTGCCCATTATGAGGAGTTCCCACCATCCCTGTGCTGAGTTCCCGGGTCTGTACACCCGCTGTGCTCATTATGAGGAGTTCCCACCATCCCTGTGCTGAGTTCCCTGACCTGTACACCCGCTGTGCCCATATGGAGAGGTCCCCACCATGCCTATGCTGAGATCTTTGGTCTGTACACCCGCTGTGCTCATTATGAGGAGTTCCCACCATCCCTGTGCTGAGTTCCTGGGTCTGCACATCTTCGGTGCCCGTTATACATTAATATAGCTCTGACATATTCTACAGTGTTGTACAGAAGACTCTGAGCCAGTCACATCTCGGCATTTTCCTTTTTCCCAATTTCCATACAGTCAGTTTAAGAATCAAACTCAAATTCTCGCCCTGAAGCTGTATCATTTTGTTTTGGCAGTGATAATCCATGCATGAGTCCAGGGCACCCAGGAACAGTCCGAGCAGGTTTTTCCTGCACTTTGATTCAGACAATGGTAATGAACACAGTTCAGTGCAGGAGGGTTTGTACAGCAAATCAATAACATAAAACAAACAAAACATCTGCGCATCGGAGCCCCTAACTGACCTTATGTGAGGTCCTGACTAACAGGGTGCACCCTAATGCAGTGTCGTCACAAGTGGGGTGCGGCCCCCACCCGGGTGTCACCATTGGAGGGGTGACACCAAAATAACTGACAGTAATTTTGGTGTCACCCCCCCTCTAAAAAGTCGGGCACTCGGTCATGGACCAAACGCCCGACGGTATCAGGAGAGAGGAGGGGACCGGCGGCATACCTTATCCCGCCGGGTTGCTGTCCCCTCCTCTCTCAGAAGATCGCCGCGCGCGCGTGATGACGTCTCGGCGGGGTGACACCTGGTAATCGCTCCGGGTGTCACCCAGCCTCGGGACGCCCCTTCCCTAATGGGTTCCCCTAAAGAAAGACAAAGTGGTATATTCCCTTTTACAGGGTTATTCACAAATGGGTGAAGGGTTTGGAGAAGGGAACAATCTAGGACAACATTGCTGAACTGGAAAGTGAGCTGAATTGGAGAATGTTTCCAAATCGCCTATTTTTGACTAGATTGTTCACTTCCCCGGCCTTCTCCAAACTCTTCATCCTTCTGTGAATAGACCTGTTAGTGTTCTGTCAGCTCTCAACCTTTTCAACCAGCAGAGGGGTAGAGATCCCTGAGCATCAATCAGCTCACATACAGAAAGGTCTGTGGGTAGCTGAGACTAATAATGCGGTACGGTAGGGTTGCCACCTGTCCAGGATTCACACGGACAGTCTGGGTTTCGAATGCTGTGTTTGGGTTTCATGGCAGCAGAAACCCGGCCCCAAGATGTCATGCAGACGGGGGCAACCAAAATTAAGATAGGGGCTACTGGCCCCCCATGGAAAATAGTCTCAACTGTGATATTTACATATGAATAAGCCGCAACCCATTCTCCCAAAAACATGTCAGTGCGTCGCTAAAGTGTTCGGGTTTCACTTGAAGAAAAGGTGGCAACCCTACGGTATGGATACCAGGTACCATGGGGACCAAGAATGGAGGCTTTATCCCACTCAAAGCTCCTCAAGGCCCCGGACTTTAGGACCCAGAACAGGGTCCTAAATAGCAAAGATTGTGTTTCCTCCCTATCAGGCACAAACCCTGCAACCTGAGAAACCTGGGTGAGACATATAGACTGTCCAGCCAGTGCCCCACACTGGGCACTGACTTCCAATAGCTCAGCCCAAGATGGGTCATTTTTCATCTTCGTAGAGCAAAAGAAACTGAATTCAGATCGCTCAACCCAAGACGGGTCATTTTCCTTCTGCCTAGGGCAGGGGTGGGGAACCTCCGGCCCTCCAGCTGTGGTGAGACTACAAATCCCATGATGCACCTGTCTCCTGGAGTCATACCTGTGGCCTGTGAGAATTTTGCAATGCCTCATGGGATCTGTCGTTTCACCACAGCTGAGGGTTGGAGGTTCCCTGCCCCTGGCCTAGAGGGACTGTGTGTGTTTTCTAGAGGAAAAGAAAATATCGGAGAGGTAACGGAGATTGATCTGCCGCAGACAAAGACATTGTGAAAGAGGAAGTCTTCCCCATCACATTTCACAATGTGTTTTTATAGACGGAGCTATTGTGAAGAAGGTATTTTAATCCAATGAGATAAAAGTAGCTTTCCTCGAAGCAGCATGACAAAGATGTGATAAGTAGGTGAAGGTTGGGGGATGACAGTTGCTATAGGTTGAACTCGATGGACTTTTTTCAACCTGACTAACTATGTGACACCAAACAAGTCACACCATGAGACGCCACCGTACTATGGTGTGTGCAGCTCTATGATGAGTGTACAGTAGGGATTGGATCAATTGGCCCAAACCATTAGAGATCTCTAATCGGGATGGAAATTGCCTTCAAACATTGTCAGTGTAAAGTTGTATTGGATATTATGTGTAACTGGAACGGAATATTCACATTGAACACAGAAATATATAATAGAATTCTGGTTGAAATCTGGTCCTCTTCCTATAGGCTGCAAAAGAAGAACCATCTACCTGCAGGTTTGGCCAGTGATACGCTTTATCATACAAAATAGAGTACATTCATAGACTTTAAAGACCACATGTCCCCTTTCCACACAGCCTCTGAACTCCTGTGTGTACTCCTCAGTGAAAGTCAATAGACTTTAGCTAACCTGCGTTTGACATGCATTACATCAAATGCAGGAAAGCAATGTCCATAGACATGAACCCCAAGACCCAGTGGAGCTGCCATGTTCTTGGTAGGGTCGCCGCCTGTCCGGCATTTACCCAGACAAATCCGGGTTGTGGGTACCTTAGGTGCTGTGTCCTGTTTTCAGGGCAGTTGAAACCTGGACACAAGATGTCAGGAGGACAGGGGCAACCACAGGGTCCTGGTGTTCCAACTTAAGTGCATAGGTGAGGTACAGGACACAGAGGGATGCTGGGACTTGGGGAGCAAGGAGGTGTCTGAAATACAGGGTGCTGATAAGTAAGTCTAGAAGGATGCAGGGGTTCTTCAGGCAGACGTGTTGCTTGCTATTTTTCTCTCTCCTTTGGCTGACTGTCCTCTCTCTATATCTCTCTCTTAATGCTCATCCTCCTGGCTGTCTCTCCTTGCTCTTTCCTGGCTGTCTCTCCTATCTCTCCTCCACCTGTCTCTCCTTGCTCTGTACCCTGGCTGTCTATCCTCGCTCTCTCCCTTGGCTATGTCTCCTTGCTCTTTCCTGGCTGTCTCTCCTATCTCTCCCCCACCTGTCTCTCCTTGCTCTCTACCCTTGCTGTCTCTCCTTGCTCTCTCCCTTGGCTGTCTCTCCTTGCTCTCTCCCTTGGCTGTCTCTCCTCGCTCTCTCCCTTGGCTTTCTCTCCTTGCTCTTTCCTGGCTGTCTCTCCTATCTCTCCCCCACCTGTCTCTCCTTGCTCTCTACCCTGGCTGTCTCTCCTTGCTCTCTCCCTTGGCTTTCTCTCCTTGCTCTTTCCTGGCTGTCTCTCCTTGCTCTCTACCCTGGCTGTCTCTCCTCGCTCTCGCCTGGCTGTCTCTCCTTGCTCTTTCCTGGCTGTCTCTCCTTGCTGTCTACCATGGCTGTCTCTCCTTGCTGTCTCTCCTCACTCTCTTCTGAATATTCTCCAAAAAAAATATTGCCAGGTGATGCTAGAATGTTCGGGTTTTGCTTGAAGAAAAGGTGTCAACACAAAGTGCTTGGGGGAATCTGGATTGGTTGTCATACACAGTATGGCCTTTGTTGGGTGATTATGAAAGTCAAGGAGTAGCTAGTGAACAGTGTATCATTTTTAGGAGGACCTTTGGTTGAGTAAATAACAGTTAGATACACTTTGCATTGGTCTCTTCTGCAATAGATTGGCCGTGTTTCTAAAACATTATTGTAATTCAGGTATACACTGAGTGGCCGGATTATTATATACACTGAGTGGCCGGATTATTATATACACTGAGTGGCCGGATTATTATATACACTGAGTGGCCGGATTATTATATACACTGAGTGAAGATCTGTGTGGAGAAGCTGTATTGATTCTCTTGCTTACAATGTATTATTTGTCCTGATAATTTACGACCATAAATCTAGAACGCTTGCTTTGTGAAAATGCCGCATTCATAAGCGTCTTCTGTCCTCCCTATTCATGTCTGGGCCTCCTCCTCCTCGTTCATAGATCCCATCTAAGTTACATGTTCCTACATCTTTGCTTTCACTGATTCTTGCTCTTGTACAATGTCTTCTGGACCAGCTAACACTTTGGCATGTTGGTTGAGACGACATTGTACATAGTGATGACTGAACTGAGCCAGCAAAGCAGCCAATCATTAAATGCAGATCTGTCCAATCTTTGGAGGATCGCTCAACTCCTGAGTCACGATTACCTGAACTTCCAAATTGACTGACCCGATTTAATTATGACCAGCAACAGATCAAAGCTCACCACAACTAATTCCTTCATCCCCAACTTTCTGTATTACTTTATCAGTGTATCCCACGTCTGCAGTCTTCAACTTCACCACAGCAGCAGCCCAGGAGACCTGTGGCATGCCGGTTATCACCAGTCGGATAGTTGGCGGCACGAACGCAGGAGAAGGAGCTTGGCCATGGCAGATCAGTCTGCGCTTCAGGGGCTCCCACATCTGTGGTGGATCTTTGATCTCCAACCAATGGGTGTTGTGCGCTGCTCATTGCTTTGAATGGTAGGTAGTTAATGTCTGTATGTAGCAATATAAAATAAAGGTTTGCACCAGACAATGCTTGTGAAAAGTAACCGTCAGACATGTGCACTGCCAAAAAATTTGTTTAGTTTTGTTTTGTTTTAAATTCGGATTTGTGTTATTTCGTTTTTCGGGATTCGGGTGTGAAAGTCAATTCGGATTTGGAATTCGGATTCGGACGAAATTCGTTCGCACGTTCGTTTTCGTTTCTTATTCGTTTCGTTCGTTTGCAACAAAGTGACATTTGAGGATGGAAAATGTTTTTCTTCAACGAATAAGAAACGAAAACGAAACGAACGTTCGAACGAACTACCGCTACCGAATTTCGGAAACGGAAATTTGGATTAGTTTGCATTCGTTATATCTGTAATTCGGAATTCGTATACATCCGAATGTCCGAATTTCGATTCGAACGAAACGAATCGCACATGTCTAGTAACCGTCATTGGTTTCTAAAAAATAAAAGTATATGGTGGGGCCTCCAAGTTTGCTCAATCCAGGTACATGTTGTGCGTTCTCCTTAGTAGTGCTGCAGGGTCTGTATGTTATAGCGGTGAGCCATGGTAAGCCGGTAGGCAGGCAGAGCCTCACCTAGTATTATGCAGGAAAAAGCTGTCAGCTTCCAGTCTGAAGCTGACAGCTTTTTCTCCATTCAGATCGGCTTCTATCAGGTTACATATCAGGGAAATCCTCCCCTCTGTGTCACCTGTCATGGACGCAGCGCTGGATGTTAATTACAGGCGGCGCTGCATCCGGCTTTTGACAGCTAAGTCAGGTTACACAGCAGCGGGCTTCCCCACTGCTGTGTAACCTAACATAGTGAGGCCAGAGCTGCAACAGCCCCTGCTCTAGGTTAGAGGCTTGAGCTCTGTGGATGGTTTGGGCCAATGGCAAAGCGCCATTGGTCCAAGCTGTCGAATCAAAAAAAAGAAAGAAAAAACAAAAACACTGAGGACATCGATCTCACTGCTGCACCAGTGATGAGCAAGTGAGGGACAGGGAGGCTCCTCCCTCCCTCAACATTTCCAAAATGTAATTACCCAAAAAATAAAATCATGACCGGGGCGCATAGATCACCTGATTCAAGCTTGTGATGTATCAAATATAACACCCAAATATCTATGCAAGTTACACTCTGATTTGTGAGACTATAGACTCCCATATATGATGGTGAAACCATTCATTCCTTAAAGGAGAACTATGAGGGGAGGGGGGGTATATGCGCCGGTATGTGTTCGCTCACCTCCCGATCTACGGAGCCGACCTGTGACAGTCTCATTGTCACAGGACAGGCTTTTGGAAAAAGAGTTTTTAAGCAAATCAGTAAATTTGCAAGGAGAACAAAGAAAAGAAGCGCCGCTCCTCCCCGGCTCAGGCAAGGAATGAGCCGGGCGCTTGCCATAGGGAGCACGTCCTCGCTCCAATAGAAGCCCATACAAAGCTGGCAGCTCACCGTGTTCCGCTGGAATAGGACATTGACGCTTGTACCGCATCACTCTTATTCCTGCCTAGGAAGGAGTTTTATGTCATCTCCAAGGCACACAATAATAAAGTTTTGCTGGGATCCACATTGCATGTTTACATCACAGTTGATATGATATAACTGACACGTTTTAAGGTCTCCGTTGACATTATCTTTGCCATTTAGGTCTACCAACCCATCAGACTACACAGTTGTTTTGGGCGCGTACCAGCTGCAGATCACCAATTCTCACCAGATTACGTCCACCGTGCTGAGTATCGCCGTGAACCCTCAGTACAGCAGTGCCGGGTCCCCCGGAGACATCTCCCTTATCAAACTCTCCAACCCCATCGCTTTCAGCGAGTTCATTCTGCCCGTATGCGTGCCAACAGCATCCATGGACTTCCCGGCGGGCATGAAATGCTGGGTGACTGGATGGGGTAATACCGGGAGTGGAGGTAAGAACACATTTAGGTAAACTTAGAGTAATGGCAGAATTACATGGTGATGCCGATGTTGTAAGCATGTCCATACCACCAACGTTGTTGCCTTATAAATGCAAAACTATTATGAGTGGAATTTATCAAAACTTGAGCAGACAAAATCTGGAGCAGCTGTGCATGGCAACCAATCAGCATCAACTTTTAATTTTCAAAGCTTAACTGAACAAACTGAAGAGAGACGCTGATTGGTTGGTTGTCATAGGCAACTGCTCCAGATTTTGTCTGCTGCAGTCAGGGCCGGATTTACTCCCCCTGCCGCAAGTTTTGATAAATCCCCCCCCGTATTTAAATCTAAAACTGTTCATTTGTCCTGGTGGCCATTACAGAAAGTAATGGGGAATCCAAAATGTATAGTTTTCATTGGAAAAAATAGGGGTATTAGACTCCTATTCTACTGACAACCAATAGGAGGCCTGCCCTCCATTTGAGACGTTTCAGCTCACTTCCTGTTGTGTTTCCTGGACAGGAAGTGAACCCGAAACTTTGCAAACAGGACAGAGCAAAACAAAGTTTGATTTTGGATATACTTTAAATATTTGTGAACCTCAGCCCAGACTCTGGACATTGAAGTATTCACGTATTCTCAACCAGCATTAAAAGAGATTTCAAGGAGATCTATGAGGGGGGTGATTTCCACTCATCCTCATAGTTCGAGCCGACCTGTGACAGAGAAGCTGTCACAGGTCGGCTCTATTGATCGGGAAGTGAGCGAACGCATACTGTCTCTCGCTCACTTTCTGATCATCTCCCTGCAGAGAGCGGTGACTGTAGCGTCACGGCTCCCCGCAGGTATTCCTCCCCTCCCCGCTCCAATCCTCCAGCACTGAGTGGAGGAACGAACGGAGGAGGGGGCGGGCACAGCTGGTTCTGCCTCTAGATAGGCAGAGCCATCTGCCACTCACGCAGCTGGGAGGTTCCAGACAGTATTGTTTGGATCCATCCCGGCTGCTGAGCTCTCAGTATATCGAGGGCAATAGCTCGCTACATACTGAGCTTTGGGTTGCGAGCACGCTAGTATATGTCCTCCTGTGACCCTAAAGAGAACTATGGGGAAAAACACTTACCCCATAGTTCTCTTTTAAAACAAGTCACCTCTGACCACTCTTGTACTGTGAATTAACTCATCCTCAGACGTCACATCAAAGACTCTGAAGTTACATTCAGGTTCTCACAGCTTAGAAACACCTGCTGTGTGTTTACATTAGAGTGCTAGCAGGCTGCCAAGGTTCGGCTGTAATAAATAGAAAGCAGCAGGGAAAGAGGGAAGACTTTGATGCCTTTTTTGGCAAATTTGAAGAGGAATTTCCCCACACCGCCTATAGTTATAGAGGTGAATGAGGGCTGGTTTTAAAGTGTTTTTGCTGCATGTTTAGAATATGTTAATACTTTGTTATCCATAGACTGGGTACAGGTTGACTTTAGGACGGATGCACACGTTAACCCAATGGCACTAGGTACTAGACATGTGCACTGCCAAAAAATTTGTTTAGTTTAGTTTTAAATTCGGATTTGTGTTATTTTGTTTTTCGGGATTCGGGTGCGAAAGTCAATTCGGATTCGGACGAAATTCGTTAGCGGTAGTTCGTTCGAACCTTCGTTCGTTTGCAGCAAAGTGACATTTGAGGGGGAAAAATGTTTGTCACTTTGCTCTAACGAACGGAACGAATAAGAAACGAAAACAAAACGAACGTTCGAACGAACCGCCGCTACCGAATTTCAGAAACGGAAATTCGGATTAGTTTGCATTCGTTATATCTGTAATTCGGAATTTGGATACATCCGAATGTCCGAATTTCCGAAAATACGTCCGAATTTTGATTCGGAACGAAACGAATCGCACATGTCTAATACCGTGTTTCCCCGAAAGAAAGACCTACCCCGAAAGAAAGACCTAGCACTATCTTCAGGGATTTCTGTGATATAAGACCTACCCCGAAAATAAGACCTAGTTCGGTGGTAGATCTCATATTACAGACATCCCTGAAGATAGTGCTAGCCATAAGACCTAGTGTCTTTTTTCGTAGAAAAAAATATATAAGACACTGTCTTATTTTCAGGGAAACACGGTAGGTACTAGAAATAAATCATCACAGCTTTATCTTGTTCTTTTGTTGTTGTTTGTTGCTCCGAGGACACAGTGTTATGATGATCTTGTTTCCACAGTGTCGCTGCCGTACCCAGGAACCCTCCAGCAGGTGATGGTGCCACTTATCAGCAACAGCGAATGTAACACCATGTACCACATTAATACCGCCGTCAGTGCCGATGAAGTCGTCATCCCCAGTGACCAGATCTGTGCCGGGTATCAGGCTGGAAGCAAAGATTCCTGCCAGGTGGGTTGTTGTCGCCCTGCAAACAAACTCAAAATTTTCTGATAGATTTGATATAAAATGAATCCATATTTAGGCAAACTTTTGGGTCAAGAGACGGTGCTGCGGTTCAGGCAGTGATATCACTCCCCTGGTCATGTGACAGTGCTCAGGCCTAAAGCGTTGAATATTTGAATCATTTTGTTATGGTTCATCCTAGACATGTGAAGAGAGAAGCACCAGCAAAATATTTGTTTAGTTTCGTTCCATTTTGATTTTGCATTATTTCGTTTTTCGTTTTTCGGGGTCCGAAAGTCAATTAGTTTCGGAATTCGGATTCGGACGAAATTTGTTAGCGGTAATCTGTACGAAATTTCGTTTCCGTTTCGTTCGTTCGCTGCAGCAAAGTGACATTTAAGAGGGAAAAAAAGTTTTTGTTTTTTTTTCTCAAATGTCACTTTGCTACAACGAAATTTCATCCAACAAACGAAATTTCGTACAGACTACCGCTAACGAATTTCGGAAACGGAGATTCGGATTCATTATATTCATTGCATTCGTTATATCTGTAATTCGGATACATCTGAATCTCCGAATTTCCGAAATTACGTCCAAATTTCGATTCGAAACGAATCGCAAATGTCTTTCATCCCTTTTAACGTTTTGTGGGAGTTTCTCCCTTATAAATATTCCTTTATTATTATTATTACATAGTATTTATATAGCGCCAACAGTTTGCGCAGCGCTTTACAATGTAAGGAAGACATTACAATCACAATACAATAAAGGAGGGCCCTGCTCCCGAGAGCTTGCAATCGGAAAGAGGAGGGGCCAGTGATACATGAGGAGGTAGCTGTGTGGGGATGAATTGTTTGAGAATGTGACGGTTCAGTGGTTAGGTTGAGGTGGGATAGGCTTCCCTGAAGAGATGAGTCTTCAGGAAACGCCTAAAGACAGTCAGGGTGGGAGATAGACGGACAGGTTGGGGTAAAGAGTTCCAGAGGATGGAAGAGACTCTAGAGAAGTCCTAGAGGCGAGTATGGGAGGAGTTGACTAGGGAGCTGGAAAGCAGCAGGTCTAGGGAAGAGCGGAGTGGACGGTTAGGGTGATATTTTGAGACAAGGTTGGAGATATAGCCGGGGGCAGAGTTGTGGATGGCTTTATAAGTGACTGTTAATATTTTGAATGTTATCCTCTGGGCTATTGGAAGCCAGTGGAGGGATTGGAAGAGGGGGTGGGGGATGGAAACCAGTGCAGGGATTGGCAGAGGGGGGTTGCAGACACTGAGCGGTTGGTCAAGTGGATGAGTCTGGCAGCAGCATTCATGATATACTGAAGGGAGAGGAGCCTGTGTAGTGGAAGGCCAATGAGGAGGGAGTTGCAATAGTCAAGACGAGAGGTAACAAGGGAGTGGATGAGTAGTTTTGCGGTGTCATTGGTGAGGAAGGGGCGTATTTTGGAGATGTTAGGAAGGTGAAGGCGGCAGATTTGGATAGTGATTGGATGTGGGGAAGAAAGGTGAGGTCCGAGTCAAGGATGACACCTAGGACCTTGGCATTGGAGGAGGGGTGGATAGTTGTGTTCCTTTCCCACCCTTCTGCTCTATGATTAAAGAAGAGCTCCAGGAATTAGACATGTAAATTTCGTTTCATTCCAAATAGATACTTTTACGAATTCCGTTAAATTTGGACATTCGGATGCATCTGAATTTCCAAATGCAAACACGTCCGAATGCGAACGAATCCGAATCTTCCTTTCATGAAAATTTGGATCTAAATTTTGTTCAAAAGGAATCTAAATTGGACTGTTCTTTAGCCAATCAGATTTTGTTAGGGGTTGCATTACAGGCACGGTCATGTGACTTCCTGTTGTGCACCTTTCCAAAACGAACATTTTAGAAGGATATGAAATCTGGATAATGAAACGAAATTAATTTTGGATCCAAAATATATAAATAGAAATCTAAATCTATCCAAAACAAAACACATTTTTTGGTGGGGTTCATGTCCACCAGGAATGACCAAAATGAACCCTTGCAGTGGGGGCTACCCCTGCACTGCAGGGGTTAAAGGAGAACTATGGGGTCAGTGTTTTCCCCATAGTTCTCCTTAGGGTAACGGGAGGACACAAACTAGCGTCCTCCCGTCACCCTAAGCTCAGTATATAGGGAGCTACAGCTCGCGGTATACTGAGATGCCGCAGCCGGAGCGGATCCCGACGTAGATGACGGGATCCGCCCAGCTGCGTGAGTGACAGCTGTCTCTGCCTATCTAGAGGCAGAGCCAGCTGTACCCGCCCCCTCCCCCGTCCGTTCCGCCAGTCAGCACTGGCAGATCGGAGCGGGGAGAGGGGAATCCAGCCCTCCCCCTGTCACGGCAGAGAGCCGTGACAGGATCGAGAGGTGAGCGAACGCCGGTATGTGTTCGCTCACCTCCCGATCTACTGAGCTGACCTGTGACAGTCTCATTGTCACAGGTCGGCTAGAACTATGAGGTGAGTGGAAATCACTCGTCTCATAGTTCTCCTTTAACTGCTCGCTTTTCCCTAGGGGCCAGAATACAGAGGATATACTCACCTGATTCTCAGTCCTATGGCAGTCGGTGCTCACCTCTCTCCCCCTTCACTCCGGCTGTGGTATGTCACTCGGCATCCTCATGTATAATGCAGGTGAATGGACCTCTATTAGATGCGATGATGTCAGCGGGGCTTAGACTCCCAGAGCTGGGGGTAGTAGAGGCTGTGGGTACTGGTCATGAAGCCAGGCAGGATCAAGGATTAGGTAAGTATATCTTTAATCCAGCCCCTAGACCAATGTGCAGTTAACCCGTGCAGTGAGGGGGTGACCTCTTCTTCTATTCTTGTGGTGCTTCTTCTATAAGCTCCAGTAGTCAGAGAGACATTCCACTCTGAGACATTGATGTGTTTCATTCGCTGTGGGGCCTCATAAAGTTTTCAAGCTGAAAGGGGAAAATGGTGTGCGGCTTCACCTTCTTCTTTATTCTTGAGCTACTGAGCTCTGTAAACAAGGGCTTTTTCAGCAGCATCAGCATGTAAAGAGAAACTGGGAAATATGGGCAAAATTCTACCTGGTGGGTCAAAAGGAGCCTAGAACATATGAATGTACAGTATGAGAAAATGTGTACATATTAATCTTAGAGGAAGTCTATTGTGAGATGTCATTTCGAACAAAAAAGTCAAAATTGTGATATGTTAGATGACGAGAACATCAAGAAGTTAAGTAATGTGGACCTGTGTGGAGTGTGAAGATGGTTTAGACTTGTATATTTAGACACCTTCTCGGAAAGGGTCTCACTGTCAAAAGAGTTCTACTAAAGTGTGCTTCTGTTGTAGAAAACCCCCCTCAGTGGGCTTGCCTCATGCATGGCCATGATCATATGAAACCAGCTGATGATTTTCCTTTTCTCTTGCAGGGAGACTCTGGTGGTCCTCTGGTCTGTAATGTAGGTAATTACTGGTATCAAGTCGGTGTCGTCAGCTGGGGAGATGAGTGCGCCCTACCCAACCGGCCCGGAGTGTACACCTACGTCCCTTACTATTTTAACTGGATCTACTCCTACGGAGCCACTCGCTTGTCCTCAACCGCATCTGTTCTGACCGGGTCCCTTCTGCTGTTATTAAGTTGCTTACTGTTGCACGGGTGAAGGACAATGGCTGGGGGGGGGGGGGCTGGATGGTGAAAAATCTGTGATTTTTCAAAGGTGCACTATTAAATATTAGAACTTCATGCAAAAACAGAATATTGGGGTGGATTCTGGATGGTCAGCATCAATGTGGCGCTCACGTCAAGGTTCTGGGTGTAGACATGACACATCTTGTATTTTTGTTGTTCTCTCTTGGTGCATTGGTCATTTACATTTCATGGTGAGCATTGTGGTCTAAGTAGGACAATATCACAACCTCAAGAACGGTCAAAAACTATGGTGCCATGTCCAACTCAACCATTAATCAATCATCCATAACAGATCTTGTATTTTGTTGTTCTCTCTGTGATCTGCACATTGGTCATTTACATTTCATGGTGAGCATTGTGGTCTAGGTAGGACAATAAACTATGGTGCCGTGTCCAACTCAACCATCAATCAATCAACCACAAGCTGACCAACCTAACAAGAGGACTTTGGTCATGGCCGTAAGCTGACCAACCTACCCAGAAGACTTTGGTCATGGCCGTAAGCTGACCGACCTACCCAGAAGACTTTGGGCATGGCCGCAAGCTGACTGACCTACCCAGAACACTTTGGCTGTGGCCGCAAGCTGACCAACCTGTCCAAAAGACTTTGGCCTTGGCTGCAAGCTGACCAACCTACTCAGAAGACTTTGGCCATGGCCACCATCTGGCTAACCTACCCAGAAGATTTTGGCTGTGGCCGCAAGCTGACCAACCTACTAAGAAGACTTTGGCCATGGCCGCAAGCTGACTGACCTACCCAGAAGACTTTGGCCATGGCCGCAAGCTGACTGACCTACCCAGAAGACTTTGGCCATGGCCGCAAGCTGACTGACCTACCCAGGAGACTTTGGCCATGGCTAAGTCAAGAACCAGTTGAACGTTGAATTGATATAATGGTGTCAGGGCAGGATATCAAATGTTGATGATTGGTTATTTATAGAAGAGGAAGACAGAAAACGGTTGTTTAATTATTCAATTATATACTGTTCATTTTTATTTATATATTTCATACATTTGTATAGAATTTTGCAATGTCCCCAATATTAAGTTTGATGCCAATCAATAGCCCAAAACACACCATTCCACACATGATGCGAAAATAAAACTTCCTCCTGCCTGCAGCAGACTGATGACATAATCTCAGCCAAGGCAAAGCCACTGACTGGATCTCAGGGAATCCTTTTAATAATAAAAGGTGGAGTTCTTCTGTAACCGATACTGTTGCTGTATATTGTGACATGTCAGGAATTTTATATTTGCGGACTTGTAAATAAAATAAAATAATTTAATTACATTTATTTTTCTGCTGTTTGCTACTGTTTGATACCCTTAAATGTATCTCGGAAATCTATCATTATAGAAGAGCTCTGGGGAATTTTTTTTAATTAAAAGGAGAACTATGGGGTTAGACCTTTTCCCCATAGTTCTCCTTAGGGTAACGGGAGGACACAAACTAGCGTCCTCCCGTCACCCTAAGCTCAGTATATAGAGAGCTGCTGCTCGCGGTATACTGAGACGCCGCAGCGGGAGCGGATCCCGACAATTATGCCGGGATCCACCCAGCTGCGTGACTGACAGCTGGCTCTGCCTATCTAGAGGCAGAGCCAGCTGTACCCGCCCCCTCCCCCGTCCGATCCGCCAGTCACCGCTGGCGGATCGGAGCGGGGAGGGGGGAATCCAGCCTCTCCCCTGTCACGGCAGAGAGCCGTGACAGGATCGAGAGGTGAGGGAACCGGTATGTGTTCGCTCACTTCCCGATCTACTGAGCCGACCTGTGACAGTCTCATTGTCACGGGTCGGCTAGAACTATGAGGAGAGGGGAAAGCACCCAAATCATAGTTCTCCTTTAACCTTTGAAGTGGGGCTACCCCCTGCGGGCACTGCAAGGATTAAAGGAGAACTATGGGGTCAGGTCTTTTCCCCATAGTTCTCCTTAGGGTAACGGGAGGACACAAACTAGCGTCCTCCCGTCACCCTAGGCTCAGTATAGTATACAGCTTGCAGTATACTGAGACGCCGCAGCTGAAGCGGATCCCGACAATTATGCCGGGATCCGCCCAGCTGTACCTGCCCCTCCCCTGTCATGGCAGAGAGCCGTGACAGGATCGAGAGGTGAGCGAACGCCGGTATGTGTTCGCTCACCTCCCGATCTACTGAGCCGACCTGTGACAGGCTCATTGTCACAGGTCGGCTAGAACTATGAGCCAGCTTTGAGGATTAATTTTGTTATATAAAAGGAACACCTAACCCTTGCAGCGGAGGGGGGGGGCTCCACTTTAAATGTCGTGACATTTATTACTAAAAATGCATTTTCACTAAACATACATTGTGCTACCGGACTAAACATCAGAAGAACGTGACATATTAATGTTCACCAATGATCACCAATTTGATAAGTGCTTCCATTTCACGTGGATAAAAAAATTGCCATAGATATATTTATTTTAAAAAATATATATATTTTGGAAGTTTTCCTTTTGAGCTCCGGTTCCAGTGAGGGCTGTAAAAATGTGGAATTTATTTTGTCGCCTGGAAAAATATAGAAGGCGAAGACAGCAACATAAACAGCTCCACACAAAAAAAATGTGCCTTTTGATATGCTTCAGTACTCACCAATAGCGACACCGGAAGTCCCATTAAGGAAGTTTCCCAATTAGTCGGCAAGCCAGGCGGCGTTTAAGGACTCACCACCCGGCTTCCCTATTAGCAGGTGACAAGGAAGCATGGAGCCGGCTTTCTGGCCAATCAGGAAGCCAGGGGGTGGGTAATGACACGCCGCCCAGCTTCCTGATTGGCTGGGAAGCCAACTCCCTGCTCTCTGGTGACGAGGGAGCATGGAGCCAGCTTTCTGGCCAATCAGGAAGCCAGGGGGTGGGTAATGACTCGTTGCCCGGCTTCCTGAGGGGCCGGGAAGCCAACTCCATGCTCTCTGGTGACGAGGGAGCATGGAGCCGGCTTCCAGGCCAATCAGGAAGCCAGGCAGCGTGAAATGACTTGCCTCCCGGCTTTCTGATACTGGAAGTTCCGGTATTGGGATAGGCATCGAGAGCAATTGGGCGAGTATGAGTACTCGACCCAAATACTCGGTATCGGTACTGATACTAGTATCGGTATCTGTGCATCCCTTCTTTAAAATGTAGAGTTGAATGATAATTTCCCAAATTCAACGGCTGAATTTTACCTCCCAACTGGCTTTTTATATGATGATGATGATGATGATAATGATGATCCTTTTTCCAAAAGATGCTTTGCTCTTTTTTTGATACTTTTTATCTGAAGCCCCCACATACATGAATACAAGTGGACTTAGGCCGGAGGTTTTGTATGAGGAAGGTGTCGCTGAGTTGAGATTAGAGACAAAACCAACCTTGTGAATTATTGACGCGCGTCTGCTCAGAGGAAGTTGACAACATTCTTTTAAACAAAGGGCGGGGTTAGGTATGGAGGACCTTTAGCTCAGAGCTTCAAGTAAGACTAAAGAATCCTATCAGAAAACAACTGATCTCCTCTGAGGTTGATGTCATCACTGCACCCAATCCACATAGTTCACATACCCGTCAAACAATACTTCTCAGATACATAAAAGAGTACTGGTACTAGAGAACGTGGTAGTGGGCCACAGGTCAAACAATTAAAAACTGCCCACCAGGTACTTGAATAGTTTTACTGACCTGGCCTGAGTCAGGCTATCTCAGGTAGGTCATCAGGAAAGGGGCTTCTTGATGGATATTCCCCCTTCCCTGAATGCCATAGATAAGAATTGGAGGATTGTAAATCCAACTTGGTGGATTGTGCGCCTTGCTTCCTACAGAGGATGGCATGTATGGAAGAACGGTTGGTGCCTCTTCCAACACTAAAAAAATAAATAAGAGGAGGACCTTATTAATACAGAAAGTGTGTTATGTATGGAAGAACAGGGGATGCCTTAAGAGAACAGGACCTTATTAATTCAGGGGGTGTTATGTATGGAAGAACAGGGGATGCATTAAGGGAACAGGACCTTATAAATACAGAGGGGTTGTTATGTATGGAGGAACAGTGGGTGCCTTAGGAGAGGAGGACCTTATTAATTCAGGGGGTGTTATGTATGGAGGAACAGTGGGTGCCTTAGGAGAGGAGGACCTTATTAATTCAGGGGGTGTTATGTATGGAAGAACAGTGGGTGCCTTAAGAGAGGAGGACCTTATTAATACACAGGGGGTGTTATGTATGGAGGAGCAGTGGGTGCCTTAAGAGAGGAGGACCTTATTAATACACAGGGGGTGTTATGTATGGAGGAGCAGTGGGTGCCTTTAGAGAGGAGGACCTTATTAATACACAGGGGGTGTTATGTATGGAGGAGCAGTGGGTGCCTTTAGAGAGGAAGACCTTATTAATACAGAGGGGTGTTATGTATGGAGGAGCAGTGGGTGCCTTAAGAGAGGAGGACCTTATTAATACAGAGGGGGTGCCTTAAGAGAAGAGGACCTTAATAATTCAGGTGGTGTTATGTATGGAGGATCAGTAGGTGCCTTAAGAGAGGAGGACCTTATAAATACAGGTGGTGTTATGTATGGAGGATCAGTAGGTGCCTTAAGAGAGGAGGACCTTATTAATGCAGGTGGTGTTATGTATGGAGGATCAGTAGGTGCCTTAAGAGAGGAGGACCTTATTAAATAACTAGAACACAAAAATGTGTTAACCTGCTAACACCCTGATCTTCACGAGATGTGTCATTTCTCCCGGCTACAATGATCCTACACAGCAAAATCCCAACCTGTCCGACCAGCCACAACTGTTTGGGGAAAATGGCCTCACCCACTCACAGGGTAATGGCTTCATAAAAGTAAATGGCACATGGCATGAAGGAATTATAGGATATTCTGTGATATGTATAATAAAATCAGCATTGTAAAGTTTATATTTAGAAGTCATCAGTGAGAACATTCTCGTGTCTTTACTAAGGCACCATAAAAGCTCAGCAATGA